TACAGGAGATGATAGAAGATGAAGATGATGATTTTTTAAAAGGTGAAGTGCCCCAGAATGATACTGTGATTGGGATTACACCAAGCTCCTTTGATGCACACTTCCGAAGTCCTTCAAGTAGCATGGGCTCCCCACCTGTATTGTACATGCCAGACCAGTCCCTGTGAATTCGAAGATTTGTGACTGAGATGACGTTCTTCCACATGGTTCCCTTCAGCACCTGATTCCTGCTGTTTGGGCCTTGTTTAAATTAAACTGCAATACTCATTGAGTATTGCAGTTTAATTAATGTGCCTCCGGCATTATACGTGCAAGTTAGACTTAATCTAGTGTATGAACAGAAATAGGTTTTTCTTTTTTGTTTCTCTGATAGACAAAATGAAAAGACTGAATATCATGTGCAATATTTTACAGTGGGGTTGATGATAAATTTGAAGACTATTTAATGTGTACCTTTTTGTGTATTATAAATTTTTGACATAATTGTGAAATTTCTAATATGGGCAACAGCCTGTTTTAACAGATTGCCTTTTAACATAGATTTGTAGGGTGGTGCCTGTGGCTCAGAGGAGTAGGGCGCCGGCCCCATATGCCAGAGGTGGTGGGTTCAAGCCCAGCTCCAGCCAAAAATTGCAAAAAAAAAAAAAAGATTTGTGTTAGAGGCTAGTCTTAGGACTTTATTGATCTTTCAGTGAAAAATCCTCTAGGGTAAATCCTCTATGTAAAAACTTTAACTAGATTGTGTGTGTTTGTTTACCTTCTGCTGTAATAGTCTTTGTGTGTTGGGATTTCAGTGGGGTGCGGAGAAAGTTGGGTAGAAAGTAGAGAAATGACCGGACCTGGTCTGGGACACTGAGTTTTGGTGCTGTCTCTAGGGACTTCGGAGACAAAAGCCACTAGGGAAGAGATAGAGGATTTAGGGAAACAGGTTCAAGACAAATAAAAGCCAGTAGGGGAGAGAGAGAGGATTTAGGGAAACAGATTGAGACAAATAATATACTTGTGCAATATAAAAGTGGATTTAAAAGAAAAATTGAGGTCTAGCTAAATGTAATTCCCCTTGACTGCAGGTGGGCTTGGGCTTGTATAAAACACATAATGTAGTATTTTACATTTTGGCTCTCAAGCATCCTGCTGGAACTGGAACTGCTCATTTGAAGCATTTAGATCAAGTCCAAAGAGGAAAAATAACTTCTTTTAAGATTATTTGTTGGAATGGTTTTGCTATCAATGGGCTGAAGTTACTACTGCAGTCTCTTTTTAATGGCTGTGCATATCATGGATTCAGCTTGGTGAAATCCTTCTCTCCAAGCCTCTTTTTGTATTTTTATAACTAAACACTGAGAGAGGTAGTCCAAGACACCCTCACTATGTAACAAATTTGTGCAAGCACTGCTCGAGTCATTTTGAAGCTCAAGCATATTTTCGCTTTGTTCCTTATGTGTACTTTTTTGTTTACTTGTGAAAATGGCCAAGTTTAAGCATATTTATTTTTCTGCCACTTCTATTTATTTAAAGGCAAGCAGTATTTTCTTGATCATAAATATTTTGTAAGAAACATTTCCTAAGCCTTTCTATGCTCTTGTATAATTGATAGCAGTATAGAATTTGAATTTCAGTTTGTAAATACTTTTTTGGAAAATAGATATTTTTATTGCTTTAAAAAGTATTGATTATAATAGCCGGGCCTTGTGGTGGGCGCCTGTAGTCTCAACTACTCGGGAGGCTGAGGCAAGAGAATCACCTAACCCCAAGAGCTGGAGGTTGCTGTGAGCTGTGATGCCACAGCAGTCTACCGAGGGTGACAAACTGAGACGCTGTCTCTCAAAAAAAAAAAAAAAAAGCATTGATTATTTTCTTTTGGTAACTTGATAGAAAGTCATTTGAGAAATTTGAGAACCTTAAGTTTCTCTTTTAACTGCTGATGAAAGGTGGATTTTTGTTACATAAGTTAATGGTAAGTGGGATCTTTGTGGGTTGGGAAGTAGTTTCAATGTAGAAGGATATATTTACAAACAATGTGTTTAATTTCAAAGGAGATGGAGGGAAAAAAACATTGTGAAAATAAAATAGTGACATGGTTACTCTGGAATCTTCATTCATAGAGCAATCAGGGGAAGTACTCCAATAAAAAGACTTCTCACATAAATGATCTTTTGATTCTGTGCTGTGTTTTTTGTTTGGAATTTTATTTTTTCGTGGGTTTTTTGTTTTGTTTTTGAGACAGAGTTTTACTTTTTCATCCTTGGTAGAGTGCTGTCATAGCTCACAGCAATCTCAAACTCTTGGGCTCAAGTGATCCTCTTGCCTCAGCCTCCCAAGTAGCTGGAACTACAGGCACCTACCACAGTGCATGGCTGTTTTTCTTCTTTTTTTTTGTTTGAGACAGAGCCTCAAGCTATCCCCCTGGG